ATCAAGTACGTGTGAGATATATGTCATCCCACGTTCCAGAATCCCGTAGAATGGTGCAGCATGTACTCAAACTTTGAAAAACGAGGAAAATCGCCTTTAAGAGCTGTTTTTTTTCTATCATTAAATGTTTTCTAATCGCAATGCGAATCCCTTCATCGGATAGAACTTGAAAGACGCGTCCAATGCACATTTTGTTGCCTTGTGTAGAGACCTGCAACCCGACCCGACCATAGGGTCGGGTTCGGGTTGAACATTTTGCGGTGCAAGTTATAATATAGAGACAATCATTTCAATTTGGCATTACTCGTTGAAAAGTTAACTCTACTGGAATTTTCAGTTGAAATACTTATTTCAAAACAACTGCATTCACTAACGAGGCAAGATCGGTCAGGTTCGGATTAAGTTGTTGGCGGGCCGGGTCGGATTCGGGTTACGTTTTCTTAACTCGTGCAGGTCTCTAGTCTTGTGTTGATGTGATTTTATGGGCGAGAAAATGGTTTACAAAAAAGACCTACTTTTCGGAAAAAACGACCTTTTTAAACATTTTCCTGGGAACGTGCTTAACATTTTGGAACTTTTTGTCTGCTAGTGGTTTTGTGGCTCTGCACATATAGAAGCTAATCTGACGGTACCAGCTCATGAAAGTGTTTCACTAAAAAATGGTGACAATGCCTACAAAGAGACTATTCTGCTGGGAAATGAGGTTTCCACAGGTCTGGAAGACCACCATGCTGTTGTTTTAAAATTTTTAAACGTGATATTTGTCATCAGGAGTCCGAGTTCTACTAGTCCTGTTACTCTCGAACAATCCGGACAAAGTCGATGTAAACGTGCTATACTTTCAGAAGAATCACCCACAACTTTCTTTGTCCAGTAAAATTGATCATACAGTTGGACTTTTTAATTTTTGACATAGTAAACTTTAGTTTTAATTTGATAAAACGAGCGTATTTTGTGCAGGTTTTCTCACTCTTTTGATTCATATTTGTACTTCAGAATTTTAAATCAAAGAGTGGAGAAAAAGGAAACAATATAAAACAGTCATTTTTTTCCATTATCTTTGTGATGCTTCTCGTCAAAAATTCATACTCATTAGGAAACGCTTTCAAGGTTTAAATATTTAATCGCCTTTGCAGTTTTGTGTGAAGAATCGAATGAGCACCATTTGGAAAACAAAAATATCTTTCTCATAAAAATATGAATTTTTGACGAGAAGCATTACAAAATAAAAGCGTTATTTAAACTAAAGTCTAATATGTCAAAAATTAAAAAATCTAACTATATGATTAATTTGGTTACACACTGTACATAGTCATTGTGACAAAATAAAATTTTGATGACTCAGCTGATGTTATTTCACAACACAAAATTAGATAATCGTTAATGAAAAAATAAAGAAAAACGTACTACATCGTTACAACCTTTGTCTTTGTTCATTTTCATCAATTTGGTTTTTTAATAAAAAAAAGGACAATAGATCGTTTGTTAAGCAGCATACAAGTTTTGTGCGAAGTCTACTAGTGAAAAGTATTGATGATCCATTATTAATAAACAATTTGTTCTGAATTTTTCATAAAAATAATCTAGTACATCGTTAAAAAATGCTTTGTTTAATCACTATTTCAAATCTATCTCAGTCTTTCATTCATGATTAAGAAGCAACGTATGACTGGTATAAAATTAGATGATGATAATTTAAAATTATGATTGTTTATTTTACATCGTAAGAACTTATTTTACCTATTTTTCAGAAGTATAGCTCCATAGAGAAAGACTCATTTATGCTCTATATTCAATGTAGATTTTAGACAGATTTCTAATTGTTATACTGGGGGTCGTATTACGAAAAAACTTAAGTCAGAACTTAAATCTCCGTCACTAGCTTAACTGTTTGGACTTAAATTTTACCGTATTACAAAAAAACTTAAGTCAGTCTTAAAGTTAAGACCGAAAACTTAAGTCATTTTTGGAATTGCTCAGGCATTTAACGATATGATTCGACGAAAACGACTTTCTAAGGTTTAGAGAATAAATATTTCGTTATTTTGCGGGTTTTTGTCCCAGATTTGTCAGTGTTGTCGACGGCTTTCAAAAATTAAACAAATCACCAACTTAAGTCTTTGTAATACGGTAAAACTTAAGTCCAAAGACTTAAGTTAGTGACAGAGACTTAAGTTTTGACTTGAGTTTTTTTTGTGATACGGTCCCCTGGAATAGGGAATACTCGATTATCTATAAATATGAAATAAAGCCTCTATCTTATTTCATACTGTATGAAATAAGATAGAGGCTTTTTCATATTTATAGATTTGCTGCAATTTTGAACGTAGTATGAATCATACTATGTTCAAAATTTAATTTTTATCTTTGAATATAAACATACGCAATAAAAAGAAGAGTACAGACAAAATACAGATTTGTAGAATAATAAAAAATTAGAAAATGAGTAGTACATTGACTAGAAAATACTTTTTCTTTGGTTATCGTTCCAGATCTATCTCAACAGTTGCTTCTATCATGTCGAATAACGATTCAATTATCGCTACAAAACTAGAAAATATGCCGGATGAACTTATATTAGAATGTTGTACATATCTTGCGCCATATCATGTTTTACTTTCATTATTTGGTCTTAACACTCGTTTGAATTGTACAATTACTGAGTATCGACAAAATATTCTTATTGATGGAACTAGCACACATCTCATTAATCGAGGATACCACTATATTAATTCAACCTTACTTCCAATGATGGGTTATCAAGTATATTCATTGACAATTGTTAATCCACAGGAATCACCATTAATCAAAATTGATCAACACACACCTAATCTTGAGCAATTGACATTTATTAACTGTAGTATCAATCGATTACAATTTTATCTATCATTATTATCATCATTAAAGCAGTTAAAAGAATTAGTAATTGATTGTTTTCGAATAAATTGTATAGAAAAAATAATTAACTCAAACAAATACGTAAATAGAATATGGATTAGTGATAATGATATATCGTTAAACGATGTTGCTCAATATCAATACAAACATCTCACTAATTTAACTATTCCATTAGAAAATGTGAATGATTTGTTAATATTGTTTAAAATATGCCCGAATATTCAATATTTAAATGTTCATTTGAAAACTTATTGTCCATTATCATTGGATGAATGTACACAGTTATTAAAATTGAATTCACTAAATCTTATCGCAATTCATCTAAAAACACCAGTGAATTCTAATATTCAATTTGATGAGTTAGCGTTAATAGTAAAACAACTTTCTACACTTGAACATTTATCAATCGATATTCATACAAACGATATCGAATGTGTTAATGGTCAAAGATGGGAATCATTATTTACATTAAATTTACCACATTTATTGATATTTAATTGCTTTATATTACTGCGTGATTTTGACATGCCAACGAAACAAGTGAATTTCAAACATGTATTAGATTCATTCAAATCGAGTTATTGGACGAACGATAAATGTTGGAAAGTAAGCGGCTATTTTCATGGATCAGCATGGAATAAACAAATATGTATACATACGGCAGTACCATTGATTAGAAGAAAATATTTCTACCTATTGTAAAAATAGATGCTAACATGATGGAACTTTGATGTAAAATTAATTTCGGAGTAAATTTTTATGCTTCTAAAAACTACAGTAAAACTTAAAAAAAAGATAAATATTCTAAGCAGTTTTCTTCTAAAGCAAGACTGAATTTCCTTCTGTTTAATTCTATTTACTTCAACACAAAGCCTTATAGTATAAAAACACCTTATAAATACCTTATATAAAAATACATTTACCGAGGTCATGATACAGTCTATTCTATTTATCTTATCTTATTTATGTACATGATAGAAATTTTTTTATTTCTTATCAAACACAGAAAGAGAAAAAACAAATGCTTTACTCTAAAAATGGAAGTCTATGTCTTACTCCGAAAATAGAAGTAAATATCTTACTTTTGAAAAGAGATAAATTCCTAACTGCGAAATTGAGAGTAAGCCTTTTATACTCTAAAAATGAGAGTATTTGTCTTAGTCTGAAAATACGAGTAAACGTTTTACTCCGTGGGATATTCTCGTAAGTCAAAGAAAATTCGGAGTAAGAAAATCCTGATTTCGAAGTAAATTTTTTCATAAAGCAGGGGGATCCCTCCCCTGCCCCCTTATCGGGCGCCCCTGCTTATAATTTCTATTCGAAGTTTTAATGTTGCTGTTGCACATTCATATTTTTTCTACCAGTATATCCTTCATTTTTTTTGTTATTCAAATATAGCTTTCTCTCGAATTAACCTTTATTACATTATTTCAATTAAAAAATTTCTCTTATGAGGGAACCTTGGTTTTGTAGTTTGGTTGCAAGTTGGTTTTGTACCCATGATGCTTTGGAGTGGAATTGGACAACTTCAAAGTTTTTTCAAAAAACTCAAGTTTGTTGATGAATCTTTGATTTCTCGGCAAAAAGAAATCCAACTGAGCTGATATTTTCATTATGACTAGTAGTCATAGTAGTCATAATATTTTGAAAGGTTGAACTTTATTGCTCATCAGCCCTATCGAAATTTCAAAATTTTTCATTAAATTGGCGCTCAATGTAGACGAACGGAAGCTTCGATCAAGCTAATATCTATATATGGCCTTTAAAAGTTTCAACTCGTTTGCTTTCTCCTGACAGAATATAAAAGCTTTTCTCTTTCTGGTAAAGCATGTTTATGTTTCTTCAGTAATCTGAAAAGATACAGCAAAAATCGACAAAGCATACATTAAAAACGTTTTTTCGTCTACTTTTCAGTATCAATGAGTGTGGTAGTTGACAAAGAAGTGATCAAGACAGATAATCTTTTCACAGTAGCTGCATTGAATGAAGGAGAAAAGAGTTATATCCTGGTATTCATAGTGTCCCTGCTTGGCCTTGAAATAAATATCGACCACGGTTTGAAACTGCCCAGGATGTTCATCAACATAGCCACTCCTGAACCAGGCGTATCGAATCATGGGAACGAAAACGGAGACAGAAAGTTGACTGTGGATGAGAGAGTGTAGATGGATAATGTTATTTCGTTCTGCCAAATGTATGTCAGTATCGTACAGGATGACCCGATGAGCAATGACTTTGTACTGTTTATTGAAAAAGACATCAAGAAGTTGTATTTTTAGCGTTGTCTTCGCTGGAATTTCCAGTTGACGAAGACTTGAACTTTTCAAACATCATGATTACTGAAGAAAAATAAACATGCTTTACCAGAAAGAGAAAAGTTTGTATATTCTGTCAGGAGAAAGCAAACGAGTTGAAACTTTTAAAGGCCATATATAGATATTAGCTCGATCGAAGCTTCCATTCGTCTACATTGAGCGCCAATTTAATGAAAAATTTTGAATTTCGATAGGGCTGATGAGCAATAAAGTTCAACCTTTCAAAATATTATGACTACTAGTCATAATGAAAATATCAGCTCAATTGGATTTCTTTTTGCCGAGAAATCAAAGATTCATCAATAAAATTGAGATCACAAATAAGCTTAGTGGCACCGGACAAAAACAGATTATGAAGAAAATCAGTTCAGTTCAAGAAAAGGTTATTTCTTAGTTTCAACGCGAGAATTTTTATGTATATTGACAAAATATCAAAATATGCGCCCTCAAATATTTTTAAAAAAGATATCTCAGAAAAAAATCACGTGTTAATAAATGAACAAAAAAAATAATATAAAGCGTTATTCTAAAAACAGGATAATAACACAATATTTGATCTCAAATCGGCTGCTGTCATCATTTGAAGGTGGAAAAAATTTGTTATTTCCCGAACTCTGCACACTTTTAATTAATGTCAGATTAAGATTAAAGAATCTTCAAAGGCGATGGATGCATGAAAGTGTGCAGAGTTTGGGAATAAACCAAACAATTTAATACAGACAATATTTGACTAGAAAACAAAAAAAATCAATAATTTGAAAATAGAAAACATCACACTTGTCGGAAAAAAAATAATAACACAAAATAGATTTGATTTTAAATAGAAACTATATTTCACTTTGTATACACGATATAGAATAAAAATGCTAGTACAACAACAATAAATGAAAATAAATAACGATAGGTGGGGTATTGTGATTTTTCCCTTTTTTTATGTTCATATTCTGTACAACGATTTTGATATGTGCATGCAAGATCCTCGGTCGATAATGGTTCAACAGCCAGAGCATGTAGAACCTGTAATAAAATCATTAACAGAGCATAAGAAATATCAGAGATAAGAAAAAGGATTCCTACTTCACAAGCAGCTCGTCGTCCAGCATCAATGGCACCATCCATGTAACCCCTAAAAGAGACAATTAAAGAAATAAATTTTAATAAACGACATATATTCTTCTATTCTTTCACATTTACAGTTAATAAAATGGACAGGTACTGCATAACATGTTTTATTCACTTTATGCTGCTCTCTTCCTTTTTCGAAAGACGACTGTTATACAAAAAAGAGAAACAGTAGACACCTACATCCATACACTTGCAGTTTCGGTACCAGCAAAATGAATACTAAAACAGAGAAAAGTAAATATATCGTTTATAATTCTAAGTATAAACTTGCTTTTGAAATGGCGCGCGTAGACCATCAAGGAAATATTCCATTGATCCTGTGGAAACATTATGACAAGGACATCCACCGGCGTATGGCTCCAAATTCCAATCCTACAACGACACCAAAAAATCAATGTAATTGACTTTAGATGTGTGCTCTTGGTAGAGAAGAATGATATCAAAAGTGAAAGAGCTTAACAGCTCAAAGTAATCTTAGAAACTATTAATTCCTTTAATCGATCTCGATGAATTCTCATCAAAGAACACTTAAAATGAAACTTCTCAGACAGCGTCTATCCGTGTTCGCAAGATGTTGCTCATTTGAGTCAACATGGGACATATAACGTTGAAGAGATTTCTTCAACAAATTAAATAATTGAAAGTTCATCTTGGTTTTAAATTTCAAATAAAATTTATAATACTAGTATGTGATACAGTCAGATCTTCGATATTTATCTTTAAAATTTTTTTTGAGCAGTCATCAAAAACCTAAAATCTTTCCAAAGTCGTTTTCGTAAATACTTCAATTTATGAAAGACAAGATTTCAAATAAAAAAACAGGCGCTATTACGTCATTATCCTAAATTTTATCTCTAATTTATGAACAATCCGAGCTCTTCATCATTCTACTTGACGGAGAAATCTATCAATCGTGTGAAAAATGCAAAATGTTTCTTTCTTTCAAAAAATTTCAAGTATTATTTAAAAAAAGGAAAACTTCTTGTATATCTCGTATATCTCGCTATCGGAGAAGTGAATCTTGAAGTACCGAAATTGGTCTGTTTTAATTCTTAACCTTCGTTGCTTCACTTTATGTCTTGCTACAAACCTTTTCAAGATAATCGATATAATCAAAACAATCTTTTCCAAAATATCGTGTAAGACATTCACATAATCGATCACGACGTTCTTCCATCTAAAATCAATTTCTTGCATTTCTAAGTTCAAGTAAGTTTAAAACTAAGCCATTTTTCTCTATTTTACCGAAACATTTGTCCATATTGCTGCACATTTGCCTCCAATAAAACCTAACAATGCAGGTGAATCATGACAACTTGTACCATCAATTAAATATGTCATTGGTCCTATTGCTTGTCCCATTGACCAACTTCCATCCGATATTACTTCGCCGCTAAAACCATTTTCTCTCCAAAATGCCTAAATACAACATATATACACACGTTAAGTGTTTAAGAGAAAGAAAACAATATTGCGTACTTTCTCAAATGTAAAGATAAACTTGATATAGCTGCCCACGGGCATATGTTTCATAAGCTCTCGCTTTGAACCTGGTAACATCGGCTCAAATTCAAGTGGTACTGAAATACGAAAAAAATAAATTAGTATATACACAAGTACTTCTTTACTCATTTTAAATCAAACTAGGTATTATATTTTCTAGATATTTTATTTACCGAACAGGACTTTTTACCCATACATGCCGGTATAAATTTTGTTTTTTTAAATTTGGTGGTTATATTCTAAGATTCTGTAATAGGTGTACAATCCGTCAAGATACCCACTTAGTTCTAATGAATTATGTTAAGAGTAAACTATATTGTCGAAGAATAAACTCAGAAAAATACTCTAAATTCTATAATTTAAACTTTGGACGCCAGACTCATACTACCTATTTGAGAAGGTGGAATGGCTAATACTAATTTTTTACACTGATATATTTCATTTATTTTAGTTTGAACAATGACTACATTATTTTCATCATCTAAAATAGCCAAAAATAGAAATAAACAAATATTACACATATATATCTGAGAGAGAGAGAGATCTTTTCACTCACCACTGTTTTTAGACTGTATAATTTTTTGAACAGGTTTCTCTAGAAGAACAGATTTTTCACCAATTTGTTTGGCTAATAATTTTGAAATTTCTTGTGATCCACCCTGTATAAATCAAAAATAAGACAGTAGTTAGTGACAAATATCATATCGCAGAAGATGAGTATTATTTTTATTTACTTTTATTTTTAATTCTTGTGCACAACCAGCATCCGTTAAACTAAGTTTCATAAATCCTCCACCGGCTTGTGCGTACGTTAAGGCAAATAGTGCATTAATCTGTTCTGGTTCAGCTCCGAATATTGTACGTGTGGCTGCACTCATCAACGGATAAGCAACTAAAATATATACCGAAAATTATAGATAATTATATAAAATAGAAGAAAAAATTATTCTACTATTATTAATCAATGGTTTCATTAAACATTTGAGTGTTAATGTGTCTAATTTACGTGCATCATGTTTATCCATTGGATTCCACATTGGTACTTTTGACACATAATATTCAAGCTAAAATAAAAACAATTATTTATAAATTACACTTAAAATTAAATAGAAATAATTTACTTTAAATATTGAGTAGATTGTTTCTAAAAATGATAATAAAGAGACAAATGGCAATGGTAATGAATAACTCTGTACACATGTATTTATTTCAACAATGCTTTTTCCCTTATGATATTGTTTATAAGTTTCGAGACCCAATTCTTTTAATAATTGCGTGACGTTTTTTTGTGTATCTGTGACCCATTGTCCACCAATATCAAAATAGTCATTTCCATTCTCTTTTGTTTTCATATTCATCGTTAATGTTCGACCACCAAGACGATCTCAAAGAGATAAAAAGCAATAACGTTGTGTTAAAAAATTGAGTATTTAGAAAAATATGTTCTATTCGATTACCTTTTGCTTCTAAAACAAGAACCGATAGATGTGGTGCTTTTTTTTTAATGAAATTTGCACAATATAAACCGGATATTCCACCGCCAATTACCAATACATCAACGTTATTTGTATTTCTATCAGTCATCTACAATATAACAAAATGTGGATGTGAGAAATCATAGGCTCAAACAGAAGAGTGACACTCGCCTTGATGGCGAAACCAAGTTGAAAAGTTTTAAAAGTGAAAATAGTAGAATTTAGTTAGAAAAAAGAATTAAGGATCATTTTTTTTCTTTTTATAAAAACAAGTATCCAATCAAATAATCACTGTTAGTTTGGAAAACTAAAAACTAATCCCCTCGTAAAAAAGAGCAAAAAAAATGAGTAGTTGAATACGATTAAACAATATTGCACACGGATTGAAAATACATGCTTACCAAAGTAACATGAAAAGATAACTGAAAGAGTCTGTTATAAACTAAATACTCATTCAAGTCTAAAAACAATATTCAGAGTAGAATTTATCATAAATTAAAAATTTGTATCATTGCACTAATCATTTTTTTGATTGATGATGCAAACAAAATAAAGCAGCACCATATGCAGCATCCGAATTATGATTAAATATAACATTCATATCTGAAAATATCAATTTTAATTCATTTTGTAATAATTGATTTTTAATCAGTGCATTTCCTGTACAAATAATTCGTTGTGTATTTGTTTCTACTAAAATTTGTTTTGTTATCATTGTGTACAGATTTTGAATTATCCAATGACAAATGGAACGAAATACAAGTCCAATATTGTTTATATTTGTGTTAAATCTAATATTTTGAATGTATGCACACATATCAGGATCATGTCTTTCACCATACAAAGCAGCTGATAAATCAAGTAATGGACATGAAGATGATTTTAAACCTAATTGAATTATCTTTGACCATAATTCTTGAATAGAGAGAAATGACGAAGAATTTGGTATTAGTTCATTTAACCACATATCAATCATTTGAATAAATGATGTTAACACATTTCCACCATTGAGTGATGCCGCAACTAATAAATCATTATTATCAAAATAGGGAACTCTAATATAAGATGATAATAATTGATCTTCTTTAAAATTTTTGTTCATTTCATGTTTTCTTTCAATGGTGACGCAAAGCTGTGCCGACGTTGATATATTACAGACGCAATCATTCTTATCATTTTCTAAACAACTGTAAACTGAACATTGTAAGTCGCCTAATGAAACAAAAACTGGAATATTTTCTGGTAAATAGGAGGAAAAACATGATTTCGAAGATGTATGACCAATAATCGTGCCAGGCTGAACAATATTTGGTAAATAATCAAATAAGCCATTTTCTTCCCATGTATTTGTTTTTATATCATAATAACCCCAACTATTTGCATTCTGAGTAGATATAAACGATGTATTCTGTGAATAACATGATAATTCAGCAATATAGTCCATTATTGTTCCACATCGATCATATTTCTTGATTGATTCACTCTTATTCTGTTTTAACCATGAGTATGTTGCTAAACCATAACCAGCTGACATTTTTGTTTTGGAGGAGAGAGAATCGAGAAATTCTTTTGAACAACGTTGATCTTGCCAAGTTATTAGGTTCGATACAATTTTTAGTGAATCATTTGAGTGCCAAAAGAGAATGCCATGCATTTGACCACATAGTTGAATCGATTGAACTGGATGACCTTTTACAGAGTCAAGCAGTTGTTTAATACTTTCAACAATAACTAGTGGTGATTGTTCATCATATTCTGGATGAGATGGTTGATCAACATGAGCGTTGTGAACAAGAGATTTTTCAGCCAATTTTTCATTATTGACATTGTTGATTAGACACAATTTACAAGACGTTGTGCCTATATCAATGCCAAGATAAGACATTATCTAAAGCATATGCATAAAAAAATTTCTCATCGTCTTTGTGAACACTTTCCTTGCTATACAAAAGCTTTTAGAATCCTGCGTACTGTAGTAAACAATCGTGACATAATCTAGTATACAGAAACCATGATTTTTTGTAAGTACAACAAGAGGCTATTGGAGAGTTTGTACCGAAATAAATCTGTAGCTAAAGTAAAACTACTTTTTTTGAAACTACTTAAAGAAATCATACTTAAGTTCAGTATTTCAAAGTCAAATTTGTTCTAAAACGACTGTCGTATTGTGAGCGTTTTTTCATAGGCAACCATATCACAACACTCAATAGCTTGAAACCTAGCTGATTTTGTTTTTTGAACAGAGAAAAATTGAGTCATTTCCGCTATTTTCAATTACAAATTTAGATAATATTTTTCGAAGTTGTTTTTCAAAAATCCTAAAGTGGATAATAATAAATATTAAGGTATTGATTCTTTCACTTAGTTTTGATGTGTAGTGATATTGTGACATTCTGTTTCTCCATGAATGAACGATTACAATGATCTCTTTCAGGGATACCTTCATAGTAGAAAGTCTTTCAGAAACACCATTTTCGAGAATAAACGTGGAAGGAATCGATATTTTTTTAAATTTACTTCTTTTTATAATTAAGTTTTCACATTATGTGTTGAACTATCAAATCAACTTAATTATAACCGATCGTGCGTTTTTGTAAAAACAAACTTTCAGGCAGAGTTTGTGCCGAAAAATAGCAAAACGAATCTTTGTAAAAAGTTTTGTAATTTTATGGAAGGCGAGACCGAGTTGTATATCGTTACTGATGTTGTTCTTTTAGGCTTCCAAGACCTATGAGAAGCCGAAAACAGTGTAGTTTTTCCATGAATAAAAAATTTGATAAACAGTTTTATTCATTCATTTGTTTGTTTACATATTCTAAATTAGAAGTGAACTAAACAATTCAATAATCTGAAATTAGTTTCGCTATTAATTAAAGAAGCCTTCTAAAAATAGTTTTAGTATCTCTTGCCAGAAATTAAAAATCTTCTGGCTAATTAAGTGCGATGAATACGAAAAAGTATTTTTCGCGACTCAGCAATAAACTTTATTTTCTTCTTCACGTTGATATGCAACTACTTTCAAGTGTTTAATATCGGACTATTCTATATTCACTCTAGGGATGAAGCACTATTGGAACTAATCTCCAAATAGTATAGATCAACTGTTTTGTGGTCTCCATCTATCGATCTTCTATCCTGTACAACGATGTTTATTGTTTTTCTCTCGGACATGTTGGCAGAACTTTTAGATAAGTTCAGTTTTAAGCTTATAGTTTACTGTATGCTTGTTTATGTTCCTAAATAAACTGAACCGAACTAATGGAATTCTCCCAACCGATCTAGCTCCCAAAGAAGTTACGATGAATGTTCTATGATCTCTAGGAAGGACACTTTTATTGACATTCATTACTCAGTTGAGGTTGGCAACTGTTACTACAGCTTCCGCCAAACACATATTGAGCTCATTAAACCCATTGAGAAGTGCTTCGAGAACCACGATGAAGCATGGCGCTCTTAACCATACTTTCGTGGCCCAACTTTATATAGAAATGGTCGCTTGATGTCGATGAAATACGCCAACAGTACGTTTTAGTCAATGATAATTCCCTAGAGTAGTATAGTTATCTTTGAAATAGTATATTGGAACGCGATTCAAATTTTTTAGAAGAGTGAGAAGAAAAAAATATGAGTCTTACCTGACTTCAAGAGACTACACCAACTATTATTTATTTATTCTTTCCCTCAGACTCTTTGCTTTAACCTTTCTTACAGATAAAGAATTTTCATTTAAATAGGTTATCATTTTGTTAATTAAAGTCTTCCCTAGTGAATGTACCTGAGACCAAGTACTTAGAAAAGTACTTGGTAAGTAATATCCAGAGTACCTGGAGTGTTTTGCAAGTAAAAAAGGTACTTATCAAGTAATTTAACAAATACTTCATCTGGAATTAGGTAGGTAACCTGGTAAACACTTGCGAAATATATGCAGGTATCCGAAGTTCTTGACACACATTAAATCTAAAAATGCTTGACAAGTGCTTGCTTAACCAAGTACGTTAGAAAATTTGCAAGGTAAATAGCTAAGTACTTAATCCCAAATACATTCACTTGAACTAGGATTATTTCGAAAGTCTGCTGTCCCTCCGTATAAAAGAAAAGCGGACGGAATGTTTTTTGGGGCAGATTTCGTTCATGATTTACCACTACACTCAGTATATTATATGTGGTACTATTCACCAAACTTTTACATTGGCTTATGATGGGCAAACCAGCTTCGGTCAAAGATAGCCGTCAGGAGCCACTTTCTACATGAAAAGACGTAGAAAGTAACTCCTGACGGCTGTCTTTGATGGCTAGCGGAAAACAACCCTTATCAAGTGCACTGTCACGGAAAAGCACGGTACGTCATGAAACAATTGTGACGATGGGACAGTAAAAAATTAACTGGCATGCTTTAACCATGCCATTGGCACACTTTGAACTTCCTCACGTTATGAAAACGGTCGAAAGATGGCACTTAAACAGTCACCGTAATTATCACGTATTATATGATAATTACGGTGATAATATTAGTATATCCATATCCTATTATATATTCTTTCATGTTTCTATTGGTGGTCTATAAAAAAAGGAAAAGCCATTGTCTAGGACAATGTGTCTTTGTCTTAGACAATGACTTTTCCTTTCCTTTTTTCCTTTTTTTATAGACCACCTTTCTATTTGCGTTCTCTTTTTTGAACGTGACGTATAGAAACAGCTGAGTAGATGAAGTGCGAAACTGTTTTTCATCGTTTTTTTGCAAACTATGTGCGTTTGCTTTTGTTCAAAGAAATTATTAAAAAAAATTAAGTATTTTACAAACTAAGTACACAGCATTTCTGAGAGAGGGAGCGAATTAAGATAAATAAAATCTACCAACTTTTCCTTAGTGACAGAGTTGAACTATATCCTTCTTGTGTCATATTACGGCATCTCTTTATCTTTCTCGAATAATGCATAAAATCTAAGATATCTCCTTTTGTATAGATTTTGTTAAACACAGTTATTGCATGAGATCTCAAAATAAAAATGCACACAAGTGAGAAAATGCCTCAAAGACTGATGTCTTCACAAATGTGAGTATCCTCGGAGTAAGATCGCTTTGCCATTAGTGACTTTCAGAGTGTAGCAAAGATCAGTTCGGTTCTGTTTGACGCACAGAGGATTGGGGTTCAGCCATTCCGCCTCATTCACAGGATGCCAGAATGGCTCTAGAAAACGAACTGGTCCGAGTGCTAATATCCACGGATATACACTCTCTAAAAGTTCAAGCGTGAATACTCGATGCTTCACATACGGCAAACTTAGCCTTATTGGTAAAACTCATAATTGAATGAACCCAAAGGCATCAGTCTTTCTCAAATTTAATTTAAGATCATTTCCAATCATATAATCAAATCAGAATTGTGAAATACAGCGAAGTAGGACTTAACTTATCTGAGCAAATGTTTCTGAAAAGTAAACTCCAAAGCTTATCGAAAATCAGATAGTTGACTAGGAACTAGGAGGTGTTCATGTATAGTAGAAGAACAGCGGGCCGAAATTGCTGTGTACTTGCTCTGACTTTGTATTAATATTGACTTTTCCTTTTCAGATAGAGCTTATGGCGTGATGGAAGCATCATCTGGTTGATGAAAACATTAAAAATTGATTCCACCATATTCTCGAAGAAAAGTCCGAGTAAAACATGGTGGAATCAAGCATAACGAGCTAAAAGTCTTCTACAAAGCTAGAGATCGATTAGCGATGCCTTTCTTCGGGTATGCGCTTGAGCAAAAAACGTCACTAGTTCGCAGTTCGAAGTAGTTTCCCTCTTTAAAACCAGTGTGAAAATGGGCCGTAATACGGTCCCAGTTAACGGTGTAAAAACGGTATGTTTACGGTCCTTTAACGTAGATTTAACGGGACGTTAACTTGGCCGTTTTTAATGGCCTGGGATGTATATGCACACATATATCTGTGAATAAAAAGATGTGTAGAAAGCAAAACTATGATGGAATGACACCAAATCAAAGCGAAAAAAGAACCGGCATCATTATTATTATAGCACATCTACTTCATTGTAAATTATGTATAAAGTAGATAACCCATACTCCCTTATGGGACATCGCTGCCAAAATCTCAAAAAAATCATGCAGAGCTGTTTAATCTCTCATTTTATAGAGAAACGTTTGCTCTACATTCCTGCTGGGTCAGAAAGTTTTTAACCAAACAACAGACGAAACATCAGATTTTTCAAAAAATATAAAATCCGTAGTCGATTACTCGGTGCACGCCTAATTGTAACATGGTGAAATATCTTAGAATATCAGAATATTTGGAAAAACTGAAAAGTCCACAAATAGATGGTAACAATATTTTAAATTAAGCCGAATTGCTACAGAAAACATTTTTATTGCAAGCAACATCATAAATGGTTTACATGGTTCACGTACTTAAAGATCTGTTTATGACGGATTTATTGTATTAATTACGTATACTTTTGATTGCAAACGTTTCAATGATTGAATCAAACTTTTATGAATAGTTGATAGAGTAATTAAACATAGAAATGGTGATAAAAGTGATGATAAATAGAAACCATAATTAAAATAACTGTTCATTAAATAGAATAGAGTATTATTTGAAACACCGAGCACAATAACGATGCCAACAAGTGTAAATGGGAGCCATGTAAAAGCGTAAATAACGAACATAGATATAGATTGGATAATTATTTTTGAATTCTTTTTTAGAATTTGAGTTTGTCTTATTCGATATTTTTGATATAGAACTCGAACAGCTAATATTATATTCATTAAAATGATGATGATAGCCGGACATAGATAATTTGCTACCCAATCAAACATGCCTAAAAATGATAACAAGTAAGAGAAATGCAACAGAAAATACAACAATGAAAAGTAC